TTTTACTGTTATCTCCACCACTTCTGTTCCAGAGGTACCAGCTTTGTAGATTTTATGAATGTTTATCTCAAAAAGTGAACTGAGGCAGTATCACTGCATCCTTTTTTCTCCTTTAGTTCTAGCACTGAGCTTCAGTGTCAGTCCTGTTGCCCTTCAACACCTGACTTGGCTCCTTTTCCAGGCAATGCAGAATTTTTTAGCCTTATCTGAATACTGTTCCTGCATGGTTCCTTTTCCACGCAGGCCAGAAGTCCAAGGCAGATGGTTGATAGCAATTGACTAAATCGTGTCTCTAGCCACTGACTGAATAGGTGTAAAACTCAAACTAAGCTTAAGGATATGAAATACAGTAATGCAATCATAGTGATGATGAATCATGGTTCCTTAAAACATTTCACTGTTAGACATTGAAACTAGGGCATTTATTAGAGAAAGCTGGAAAGGAATTTTACTATTTCTTCTTTTCTCAAGGACAGTTTCAGAATTTTATTTATTTATTTATTTATTTGTATATTTTATTGCTTTAGTTTTGTAGTCTAATAATCAGGTAATAATAATTTTCCTGGATTTCTTGCTAATTTTTTCTGTGCCTTTCCTGTTCTGGAGTACATTTCTTTGAAAGAAATTCGTTTGAATTTCTTTCAAATAATATTACCTGTTTGAAAGTTAGGTGTCTTGTATAAATTCATCGTCTATATTCCTTCTCTAAGTGGAAAGAAAAGCACTTACCACCTATCTTAGATTTCTACCATAAGGTGGCATGAATCATACCATAGAGGTAAATCTCTTTCTCCATTCTCATTGTATGAGATTAAACAATTTAAAATTGATGTTTAAATTTAGATGGCTAAAGTTAGGGGTAATAAATCCCACCCTAGAGACTGTTAACAGAAGCTTAAGTTATTCTTCTCTCTTACTTCCAAGTGAGAAAAGATTAGATGTCTTTCTAATTGTTGATGCCATAAAGTTCTTGCAGACAAACACAAAGCAATCAGATATGAGAATAATTTATAAATATTTGTGAAGAATAGAGAAAAAAAAAGGAAGCCATGTTTTTTATTCCCTGGAAGATATTAATGGCATTCATATGGAGGAGGAAAATTTGTTACTGATTGTTGGCAATTTACACTAACAGAGGAAGACACTTTATTTTTCATTGGTATTGTTTGGTAGACTGAATCACTTACAAAATTTAGCACACTGGTTTGCTGGATTACAGAAGAGGCAATGTTTTCAAACTGCAGGTTGTAAAATTTATAGTAGCTTAATGTTCAAGTATGTGGTTAGAACTCAGTAGTAGCAAATGTTTTGGAAGTTCAGAGAAATGACTTGCATCAGTGGTATATTTATATTTTTTATAATATTCATACAAACATGCACAGTATTGCTATATAGACAGGAAAAATGTTAACTGAACTCAACTATGCCTATATGGTTTCTTGATATTATTGCTCTTGCCTTAATGCAAAAGACAAGATGTACTTAATACAATAAAACCTATCAAAAAATGAACTTTTGTGTAGTAATTGAATTATCACCTCATTTTTTCTGAAGTTAATTATTGGACAGTAAACGTCATTCATAAGCATACTATTGTATTATTGGTGTTATGCAGCAATTAAAATAAATCAGTCTGTAAGTGAATAGCTTTTGTGATCTCTCAAAAAATATTGTGACTAAACAATGTTCCTTAAAGATATTTGCCATTAATTCCATTGTTATCCAGAAGATGTTCAGAACACACTAATTGACTTCATAATTTTTATTTATGGTCTGTTTTAGGACGATTTTGCATGTATTGGCAAGAGAGCTAAAATGGGGATTAGAAGATTTTTTTATTTTATTTTTTCAAAACTCTGTTTAATACCGGAGCTTATTGGGGATTTTAATTTTAAATTTAAATAGCATTTAAATTTTCCCATACTGAATTATGATACTCTTTCTGAAGTGTACAGTATCCTAGATTCTCATCATAAGAAGTCAATCCCTATATACCTTTTATTGACTTTGCAGAATCAGAGGATGCTTTTAAAAGCTTTGACATAAATGATTATTTGAGGTCACCCTCAAAGACAGTAGTAAATCTAGAAACAACACCTACTTGATCACAATCTGCTGTTCCTTTCTTTTTTTATATATATTTTTCCTGGTTTCCAGGTTTAGCTTTCTACCTCAAAATTGTAGTGATGACAATTACAAAACACTATCAACATCTTGTGCACTAAATGCAGTGCATATTTAAGGGAATCCTGGATGCATATATGGAAGTCCCAGGGATATCCCCAAATCAATGCAATACGTGGTTTTCCTTACCTTCATAGTTCACACATTTTCTTTTTTTCTTTTCCCACAAAACATTAACTGAAAGAATTAATGTCTTACCAATAATGAAAAAAGCAAACATCCATTTGATCATGACTTTGAATCACGACCTCGCTAAGCCAATAAAATAAAAGCATAGTAACCAATAAGTAAACCATATACTTATGAAGAAAATAAAGCTTCACAGAGCTACCATGTCTCTTTAGAAAATGGCTGGCAAAGAGCATGAATCAGGCAGAGCCTCAGTAATGAGTTCAGCAGTACAGCCTTTAAGTCCGTCATAAAGCATATGCTTGCCACAGGTTTCCCTGCTTTCTATAGGGAAACAAAACAAAAGAAAACAAAAACATGAGAGAGAGAGAGAGAAGCTGATTACTTAAGCTTAGCAGATCCACAGAGTGCAATGTGTTTTTTTTGCTTGTAGTTGGAAGAATGCTAGAATCACTTGATCTCTAAAAGTGCTCTCAGTGAGAAGCACATGAGAAGGACATTTCCTAAATGTCTTTACAAGTTTTGTCTGTTTGTGTTACTTCAGATTTATCTGCTATCTTGCTAAAAAGTGACTTCATCTGAGAAAGTTGCAGCAAGTTGCAGCCAAGTGTCAAAGAATGCAAACAATAAGATAGAGAATGTAGAAGTTTAATATTTACTTAGTGTTTTAAAATAGAACATCTATTCCAAAATACGTAGGGTTTAGATGCCACAGAAAAGGCAGAGAGAGCACTGAAAATTGGTGCACTACGCATCTATTCTTGACCGGTAACTTTCCCCCTTCTTACTTTTCGCTGTTAATGAGTTATCACGTGCAATTATTTTCAAGTTAATTTACATATTGTATTACATGTGTTATTTTTTTCTAGAATATCATGGGAAGGAAAGCTAATTGGAGGATGTGTGTAATATGAAACATTTGCAGATTTGTTTCAAGTTACATAGTCTCTTGTGTGTTTCCCATGTCATACTTTCAGAATTTCGAAGCAGGCCCAAAGGGATAACATTAATATGTGTGTCAGGTACATATGGCCACATCTCACAGAGGAGTATTAAGTGGGAGGGCACTGGACACTAGATAGATTTTTACAAACATTTTGTACATCAGTACATCCTGCAAAACAGAAAGGTGAGTAATTATATATGCAGGCATTTCTATGTTTTTCAAAACTCAAAATACAGGCTGGCAGTTTATCTACCTGAGTGCAGGTGCGGATTTTGCTTTGGGCTTTTATTGAAAAACTAGGCCACAATGCCCAAACACTGTTTTCTAAATTAATCTATTTATATTCTAGGAGTAGCCTAGAATAAGGGTAGCTCAAGCCTGCACCACTAACTCCAGATGGTCCTGCAGGCACTGGTATCTTCAGCATCCCACTGGAAGCTGTGGTTCTAACATACTGCTTGGGAGAGTTAGTTCTTAGAGGAATGGACTTTTAGACGATAAAGTAAGCATGCGCTCAAAAGAAAAACTTAGAGGAGTTTATGACTAATCTGATTCAGCCAGCTGATAGGCCTGTGTCCCAAGATAATCAGCTTGTGATCCCTTCCTGTTGGTAGTAATCATTCAAGTAGCTTAGTTTGAACCTGCTAAAAAACCCTACCTATCATTTGTTCATACTGGCTTCCTCCCACATATTCCTTAAGTTCCAAGGTTTTTTTGCATGAGTCCTCTGCTGTCTCTCACCTACTAGGGAACTGTCTCCTCTCATGTTTCTGTTAAGTAATAGTTAGGCAGCCATGTTGTAAGAGTGCCGATGATAAGGGAAGTGGGAAGCGTGCCTGTGGCTCATGTACTGCTTGTGCATAGTGTAGCTGTGGCTCCCATAAAAGACTATTTCATGGCCGTATAAAATACAGAAAATTCCTGGGTAATCCTAATCCTCATCTCTTCCAGGAACTAGATTATCGTGAGTCTCAGCTGCACATCAGCCATATCCCATCTGGCCAAGATTCAAATTAAATCCATCTGAAACTACTGTCATCTGCATTTAAATTCCCAGAACTCTTTTCTTTTGCCCCCTTCCTGTTTTGTAGCACATTTTCTCCAGGATCTAACCTTTGCGAAAACATTTTGATGTACGGTTCATAACATCAGAAAAACTGGTTTGAGGAGTGATACATCTTCAGCTAATTGAATAATTCACTTCAGGGGCCTTAGAACTATCTGAAGTTTGGTTCTAAGAAGCTTTTTAGTCCAGGGGAGCCATCAGTGTTTTCTAAATATGAAAAGGTAAAAAACACAAATGATAGCAGACAGTCATCTGAGTAATTCTAAAGTGTGCTGGATTAATATGAGAAAGAAACTTGAAATTACTATTACAACTTATGTCAGCCTGTCTTCATCTTTCTGTTAATTTTGTTACAGAAATGACTAGAGTAAACAAGAACAGGGCCTTGCTTATACATGTAGAATTTTGTATTGTTATTTCTATAGTGCTTTATATCATAAGTTCTTTTGGAGGCTCTGAAGAGTGCATTGTACTGTTTGCAGCCAGTAAGATGAACAAGCATTGTGTAGTATTCAAAACGGTTCTCGTAATTTTGCGCCTCCTATACGTGCCTGCAAGCACTTTACTAATACACAAACCTGTTTATGCTTAAAAAAGAGTTTCTGAATGTGGAACTAAATTGATATGAAGACTGGGACAAACTCAAAATGACTGGAACCATTCCATCCAACGCAGGTGCAATTTCAGCATAATCCAAGCAAGTTGGGAGTTCAAAAATGCTCAGCAATGTCTTCTGTGAAGTGATTCTGCAGATCCACCTTGTTCATATTAGCACCAGATTGATCCTCGTGGGAAGGGTTGCTGCAACAGGAATGAAAAAATTGTTTACTCCTCCTCATGCAAATGTTCAGATATTTGTTTCTGCTTCTCCTTCATGCATCCGTAGGGTTGTGAGAATTTGGGTGGTCCAGCCCCGTGAGCATGTAGTGAGATTAGAGTCACGGTGCTTGTAAAGCAAACATAGGTGCATAGGTTCAGAAATGTTGATACTGGCAACTGGCAGCAAGGGAACCTTTTAAGGGTGCAGGGCTCTAAGGCCTTTGGCAGGAACCATACAGTGGTTACTTGAAGTAGCACCATTTTATTGTCAATACTGCTATCAAAATATGAGTGTTGTTTTTAACTTGATCGCGACTGAATGTCTCCTGAATAGTTTGGTACCCTTAGTATTTCTACAAACACAGCTTCAAGGATCCCAGCCTAAGGTACATTCTTTTGTCTCCCTCTGTAAATGTTTAATTACTGGCTCACAGAATAATGTTCAGTTGACACAAGCATTCGCACATCCTGGAATAGTTCTTGATGTCTACATTTCCATTACGTTATGGTCACACAGTATTTTATGAATGTTGTATTAGAAGAGATTTAAACATTTTGTATTAAAGCAAAATTCCTGTGAAGCTATATGGTGTCCTCATATTGGTATGCAAAATGCCACAAAATTATCATATTTTGGTGTCTGATAATTAAAATGTAACTTATTAATACTATAAATATATTCACACATGTAGGAAAAATATAAAAAATAAAACCTCAAAATTCATTTTTCTGCTTTAGAGTACTTGGATGTACAGAAAAGATACTCCTGCATTGTAAATTATACCAATTCATGAAAATATTTGTATTACATTTCTCTTAAATATGTAACTCTGAGCTCTGCTGAAGTATATCAGAATTCATCGTGATACGCCAAAGAAAGCATTCATATTTGGATCGTACCAATATAGCAAATCTAACCCAATGTTCAAAACCCAGCAGAATGCATATAAAGTCTTAACACTCCTGCCTGACAGTTATTTGTAAATAGTTTGTTTGTATGTGTGATAGCTTGTTCCATTTTTAACATTTTTAGCAGAAAACAACCCAACACTCCAAAGGTGAAAAGAAATGTGGAAGTACTTATCAGTTCATGAATGTGTGGGAAAGATGACATTGCCTCTGGCTCTCTTATTGTTAAAGTAAGTGTTTTTGTAGATTGTAATTTGCCCTCCTATAAAAGAAAATGCTTTAGAATGTGTCAACATTTTGGCACCAAGTAATTCTATTTCTATTTAGCAAAACTTAAATATGCATTAAAAATATAAGTTCAAATGTTTTGCTCAAAGCCATGCTTCACCTTCTGACACAGAATTTTATGTCTCCTGAACAGAAATGCCATAAATTAAACAGAACTGTGTTTTTTTTTCACTCTTGGGATTTTATTTATAGAACATTTTTAAATTAACAACTTTACTCTTTCAGCACTTAGTTTGATGTTGCTCTACTGAAATTAATCAATTTTGCTATCAACAACTCACAAAGATTGGATTTAGTCTTAAAATTAGAAAAGAATAAAAATAGTATTTCAGTCCATGCTGAAAGATACACTAAAATCTGTTTTGTCTGATACAGATTTCTAACTTTTGACAATACAGATGATGTTTTAATCTAATTTCCACTGAAACTTAATAACCAGCATATTTCAAACTCTGAGGAAAATCTTGTATTCCCCAAAGTGCAAATTATCAAAGTACTTCATAGCCGTAACTATAGCCTTTTGGTTTTAATAGCCTAAAACGCAAATGACATCCATTGGCTATTTGTTAATTATGTTTTTGAATTGCTTTTGACTACACCAGAGGATATCTTCCAGGCTCTGATTTCTATTAATAGATGCCTGCTTTGGACAGTGTAAGAAAAATCCTCTGTTCTATCCAGCCTCATTAAGACAGTAAGTCCTCTTTTTTTTAGATTGTCTACTCTCAATAAAGTACCACCAACTGCTACTCTCCCATAACAAATAAGTAATGCCAATGTGGATGTACAAGGTGTTGTCCTCTAAGTTTTGGGAAATCACTTGTGATTTCTCAAGAAATATGGAAGGCTAATTAATTTGAGAGCAGTTGTATTTAGTGCTTTCATAGACTTCACTGTTCTGTAATCCTTCAGAAATAGGCTAGGTTCAGTTCAAAGGGATATTTATCACAGTTTTTTAAACGTCTTGAGATTAGACTAGAGTGTAGATAACATGAAGTGAGCTTTCTTATTAGGTATGTATTAATTTGTGTTTTGATAATTTGGAAACAATTCAAGTGTAATCAGGGTCTGAAACAAAACCTGTAACTGAGAACTTATAATGTTTACGCAATGTTTTGATAACAACTATTGAATTTCGGAAAGTTCTGACAGAAGTTCAGGTCTGCTTTTGTTTTATCTCTTCAGCTTTCCTTAATTAGCTAAAGCAAAAGAAGGAAGACAGGTGTGTAAATTTTCTGCCCAGTTTGAGGACAACTAAGAATACTACAGCTATTCCATATTACAGCAGCTCAAACACAAGCCCCCACCTCCTTCTACACACGGGGAGGAAGACAAAGAATTAAGTACCTATTTTCCCATGGGTGTTATCAATAGAAAATATACATTTTGAAAATCAAGAAGACATAAGTGAGAATGACAACAATTTAATTCTGAAAAAGCTATAGAAAGATCTCTTCAGAAAATGCAACATTGTTGTGCTAAAACTAGGTATCTTTAAAATTACAGTACTTATTCATAAACCATTACAATTTATTTATTAAATTCATTGCTATCTTCTGTTGTGACCAGGAGATAGCCTGTTAATAAGTCTTATCCTGTTTTTCAAAAATGTCCTTGAACAGCATACACGCACAGCAGACACAAACATTTACATGTTGCAACTCGTGGTACAGATAAAAAAAATTCCATAAAAACATATTACGTACATATTGACAAGTTGGATAAGAATGTAAAGACTGATCCAGGAACATGTATCTGCTACCTTTGGCACTGAATAAGCCCGACATTACACCTGCCCTGGCTAGGTGAAAGATTGTCTAGATATGTAAAGGCAGAGCAAACACTAACAATGAAGCTTTCATGGGAGGAACAGAACTATCTGCCCTGTGTGCGTAGGGCAGATAGAAATATCTGCTCAGATGAGCTCTCCAAATGCACAGTGTCAAAGCTAGTTAAACACCTGAAGAAGAACTGGTGAGAAGTCTACTGCTGCAGGTTTTATTAACAGGTTAGACAAGCATATGTCATGAATGTCACTAGTGCAGTCAATTTCTCATCCTCCAAGGTAACGATTACACGCCTTCTCAAAATCTGTTTTCCTTTCTCACCCCTTCCTGCTCCAGTTAATGTTCCTACTATCTTTGTCCACTGAATTTTTTTCTTAGTCATATTTACTTCTCTATGTCTTCTTCAGCAATTGGAAGTCAGTTCTATAAATCTACTGCTTCCTTTCAATAGAGGAAAAGAGTCAAGAAATCTAGACACACTGAATACACAGGCAAAGGTTTTATTCTCTAGTAGTACATTTAAAACAGCGCTCTTTTAACCTGTGCAACAGGAAGATGTCTTCTCCTATCTTTGCCTTATAGTCTCTGGAATCCAGAGTCTTCATACAGGTATCATTCCTAGCATTCATACGTCTTGTGTTTGAATACCACCCACCTAATTTTACATACTTTACTGATGCCTAAATTAAGAATTTAGCTAGCCTATCTTCTCTTCCAAGCTAATAGAAAGAGGCAGAACCCTCTTTGGAATGATTCAGATCAGATGCCTTCTAGCAGTGCTTAGGTCTCTCCACCAATTTCAGACTGGCTCTGGGAAGTGAAGGCACCTCATCTGAATGGATTCATTCACTTTATTTGAACTGAGGCTTCTGTTCAGTAAAATAAAGGAATTTCCTCAAATAATGGGATTGCAAAACTAAAGGACTCTCAGAGTTAACCTTTAACTTGAGTAGTTAATCCAATGTTTTGAATACTTGGGATAGGGAAGTTCCAAGAGTTTCAATAAGGACAGAAGGAGAAGGTGCTTTGCCAAAGTTAAGATGCAGGGTGTTGGCACTTGGAGCAAGTTCAAGTGGAAGTTCTGGGAGAGACTGTTTTGTTGTTGTCTTTGGATAATTCACTCAGACTAGGTCTGCAGTGTACAACAGATACCTGTAAGGAGAAATGAGGAATACAAGCAGTAAATATATAGGCATCGAATGGCTATGTTAGAAGTTATGTTTATGCTGGTGGCTTTGTATGCATGGTGGTGGGGAGCAAAAGAGAGACCTGGCATTACTGACCAAGTTGGAGAGAGAGGAAGAAATGAAACAAACTTAACCCTGACAGGGAAAGAGCAGAAAAGAGAGACTGCACCTTGGTCGCAACAACCCCATGCAGTGCTAGGGGCAGAGTGGCTTGAAAGCTGTGCAGACGAAAAGGATCTGGGGATGCTGATTGATGCTCACCTGAACATGAGTCAGCAGTGTGCCCAGGTGGCCAAGAAGGCCAACGGCATCCTGGCTTGTATCAGGAATAGTGTAGCCAGCAGGACTAGCCAGCACCTCGAGTACTGTGTTCAGCTCTGGGCCCCTCACTACCAGAAGGACATTGAGTCCCTGGAGTATGTCCAGAGAAGGGCTATGAAGCTGGTGAAGGGTCTAGAACACAAGTCCTGTGAAGAGCGGCTGAGGGAATTGGGGTTGTTTAGTCTGGAGAAGAGGAAGCTCAGGGGAGATTTTACTGCTCTCTACAGCTACCTGAAAAGAAGCTGTGGGGAGCTGGGGGTTGGCCTCTTCTTGCAGATAACTAGTGAGGGGATTAGAAGGAATGGCCTCAAGGTGCACCAGGTGAGGTTTAGGTTAGAAATGAGACATTTCTTCTCAGAAAGAGCAGTCAGGCATTGGAACAGGTTGTCCAGGAAAGTGGTGGAGTCCCTGGGGTGTTCAAGGAAAGGCTGGATGCAGTGCTTGGGGACATGGTTTAATGGGTGACATTGGTAGTAGAGTGATGGTTGGACCAGATGATCTTGAAGGTCTTTTCCAACCTTAATGGTTCTATGATTCTACTGGGAAAGAGTTTCCTCTGTTTCTTTTCCCAAGCCAAAATACCTCTGAGGAAGTGTCTGTTCGACAAATGGTTCTCTGAAGACCAATTGGACCCTGGAATTTTTGATAATAATTTGACTTATGTGGTTAATACTCCTTTGTTAATTTACCAGAAACCACCTTTACCAGACATGAAAAATCTAAGTACAGCATTTCTTTTGTGAAATTAAGAAGATAACAAATGACTGACATACAATTACCTACATTGCTTATAACTTTTTTTGCCAAATATATATGTGCACCCTCAGCAAGTTTGCTGATGACACCAAGCTCAGTGGTGCAGTCAATACCAAAGGAAGGGATGCCATCCAAAGGGACTGGGACAGGCTGGAGAAGTGGGCCCATGTGAACTGCATGAGGTTCAACAAGTGCAAGTGCAAAGTGTTGCATCGGGGTCGGGGCAATCCCATACAGAAGTACAGACAGGGAGAAGGCTGCTCACTGTGAGCAACCCTGTGGAGAAGGACTGGAGGGTTCTGGTAGATGAAAGGCTCAACATGAGCCAGCAGTGCGTGCTTGCAGCCCAGAAGGCCAACTGCATCCTGGGCTGCATCAAAAGAAAAGTGACCAGCAGGTTGAAGGGTGGTGATTGTCCCCCTCTGCTCTGTTCTTGCGAGGCTCCGCTTGGAGTAACTGCATCCAGATTTGGGGCCCCCACCACAAGAAAGATACGGACCTGTTAGAGCGAGTCCAGAAGAGTGCTACAAAGATGATCAGAGGGCTGGATCATCTCACCTAAGGGCTGGAGCATCTCACCTATGAAGAAAGGCTGAAAGAGCTGGGGATGTTCAGCCTGGAGAAGAGAAAGCTCTGTGGAGACCTCACTGCAGCCTTTCAATACTTAAAAGGGGTCTTCTAAAATGGTGAAGAAGGACTCTTTACTCAGGTAAATAATGACAGGACAAGGGTCTTAAACTAAAAGAGGACAGATTTAGACTAGACAGGAGGAAATTCTTCACTGTAAGGGTAGTAAGGCACTGCGACAGGTTCCCCAGAGAATCTGTGGATGTCCCATCCCTGTAAGTGTTCAAGGCCAGGCTGGATGGGGCTTTGGCCAACCTGATCTAG